TGCTCATCTCAGGATGTTATTCCTCTTGAATGGTCCCTTTGGCTCCCTGCTGATTACAGAATAAAGCAGGGGAGGCCCATCGGTTTGGCATATGCCAGGCCCTATGGAGTCTGGCCCTGCCTGCCCCTCGAGCCTCATCTCTTGCACGCGATCACGCCATTGCGCATGCAGATGTCAGTGGGAGCCCCCCTCACTAGCTTTTGTGTCCTGTTGGTATGTTCCGATCATGTATTGAACACTGCTTTTTTGTTCCACCCTAGCACAACAAAGCATTTCCCAGCCTCAGCCCTGGAATCAGACATTTCTTTAAGGTACCTGAGTTCCTTTTAGTGGAGAATGGTATTTAGAAACCAAAATCAGGGCACTAAGTGTGCTCATTGTAACTGGAGTATCTCTGCTTCTAGTTCTTTGCAGGGCTAAGACTAGAGAATATGTATCTGTGTAACACATATGTACACATATGTGTGTATGTATAATACATACATTTGTATTTCTATTTCTTTTATCTGTCTCTGTTTACCTAACTACTTATCTATTGAATGCCATGATTTCACAAAGTTACATCCAATTCCAATTGGACACCACAGGGTTTATTCTTGTCTCCCTATCCATGTCTGGAACTCTCTTTTCTGACACTAAGACACCTGGTTCCCATTATATATTTACTTGCTTGATCAGTATTGATCCGTTCCTCTGTGTGTAACCAGTCTTTCTCTGCTATAGCTCCCTTCCCACCTGGCACTGCTTCCTTCACCCTATTGGGACTATGACCCCTTAGGCAGGGCCACTGCCACCCCTCCTACAGTGGACCTCTTAGGCCACTTGGACTCTACCTGGCCACCCTTCATGGAAGCCCTCCTGCCCCACAGGCTCTGACATCCCACACTGGACTGCCTTCCAGATGCTCTTTTTACTCTTCTTGGGTTCTAATACCATGGCTGGTCAGTCCCCTCCACTCCATATAGATGCTTCCTATACCCCGTGCCAGGCCTCACCCCTGCATCAACATCTTCCTCACCCCTCCTGAGTTCTGACACTCTAAGCCAGGCCTCCCCCTGTGTTGACACCCTCCTTATCCTGCTTGGGCTCTGACTTTCCCTTACTAGGGAGCCCTCCTCACCCCACTTGGGCCCCAACACACTGTGCCCAATCACCCCACCTTGGGTGCCCTTCTCACCCCACTTGGGCCTTCACACCCTGTGCCAAGTTGCCCCTCCAGGAGGATAGCCTCCTCTCCTCATGTGAGTTCTGACATCCTGCTCCAGACTACCATCCTCCCAGGCGGCCACCTTCCTCAACTTGGTCGGCCTTTGCCACCCCACTCTGCCACCAATGGCCCTCCAAACCCACCCCTACGTTGCCTGGTGCTTCCCATCTAATGGCTTTGAACTGACTACTAGAAAGAGAAGTTGGAGAGCTTTTAAAATTTTTAATGGTTTCCTACTTTAGTACTATGACAAAGAAGTAGAATCTCATTATATACACACTTAACCTATGGAAGATCAATCATACATGTGTGCACACCAGTGGGAATGGTTATCCTGACCATTCGGTGGAGTGAGATTAGAAAAGTGAATCATCTGCCCTCAGTCAGACTCAGTTCTTGAGTTCAGCTCAAGAGTGAGCAGTTTCAAGTGGACAGACTTAAACAGAAGGTTTACATTCAGCATGTCCCCACCCCAACTCAGTCTGACTGCTTTGTAGCTACACAAACAATGCTGTATTTTGAGGGCAACTAAGGGCGTTTCAAGGGTGATTTTGACCATGGGCCGTTGCTGCCGTTAAGTGCTGCCTTTAGAACCTGCCCTCCCACCACTTGCAAGGGCCCGTGGTGCCCGTGTCAGCGAGGCAGAGTGTGTAGGAGTACGGTGCTGCTACCTCAGCTCTTCTCAAGTTTAAAAACTTTGCACTGCCTCATGCAAAACGGAAGCCTCTCTATTCGCCTGTCAGGCCTGGAGCGAGGGCAAAGCTGGGACAAAGCACCTGGGCCGGAGTTGGTGTGAGAAGCTGGGACCCAGGCTAGCACCTCGGAAGCAGGCTGCGCCCCATGGGCCTCCCCCATCTTCTGACTGGGTCTTGGTGCTGCTCCGCTGCAGTTTTCTAAATCAGTCGGACAGCCTGCACTAAGTAAGGCACTTGGGGAAGATTTCCAGCTCCTCCCACCCGACTGCTACTGTCTTCCTGACTGGGACCACGGTCTTCCTGAGTGCAGAGCCCATTTGTTACTTGTCTTTCTGCCCCAGCTGTGGACCACCACGTAGCAGCCCTGCAGTGAGGACTCGGGGGGTTACGTCAAGGCAGCGAGTAGAGGCAAACCAGAGGCGTCTGTGCCCCTCTGCATGTCCAGGCAGGAGAAGCGTAATGGAGTGTTTGTTTCCTGTCTTGGGGCTGGGAAGTGCTGTTTACTCAACGATGACAGACGCGCACGGAATGGCGGACGGTCTCCACGCCCTCACCTGCAGCCTGGCGGCCGCGCGAGTCGCCGGCGCTAATGAAGCGGCACGGGAAACGCCGCTGGAGAAAGCCCCCTGTGAAACCTGGCCTCCCGATGGGGAAAACAGGGACCCTTTGAAGAAGAAGACAGCCGGGTTTGGGTTTCAAAACCTTAACACTGCCATCACTAGATAGTCATCTGTCAGTGCACAGGGGACGACATGTGGGAAACAGTTGTGTCCGGTCGGGCCAAAGGGAGAAAGCAATGGCTGACTTCCAGGGCAACAGCGAAACCTCCCGCGGCCAACGGTCTGCTTAGCGCAGCCGGAAAGAGTTGATCTGGTGAGGCTGAGGCTGAGTGTGAGACCGGCGCTGTGTGCTGTGGGCCAGGCGGGCCTCACCACGTTACCTCCTTCATCCTGGAGGCAGGTGAGGACGCTGAGGCTGGAGCTCCTGTGCCCAAGCTGTGTTGGTCAGTTGCACCTAGTTGTCCAAAACCACATTGATGGGTCCTGAACCATCAGCCTGGCCCACGTCACTTCATCAAGTATTCCTAAAACAACTCCGCTTTTCTCTCGTTTACTTGAGGTCACAGTTTCCTTGCAAGGAAATAATTTTCTCTTCTTGCCTTTCCCCACCTCCTTCTTGACTTTCAGTTGCTGAATTTAACTAGTGGTATTTTGCTTTCAGGAAAAAAAATTTGTAATCCTTGATCGAATTTGTTTACTGAGAGTCCTCTAATCTGTGCAAGAGTTTTCTTCTGAGGGGATTTCTTGTTTCTGCTATAATGGCTTTTAACTCGACTGAGGTTTATTTAACAGAATAGGAAGGGAGAAACTTATCTCCTCCCTAATCCCTCTTGAATGTTTACATTGCTCTGCCAAAGTAAATGCTGTGTAAAGTGGCAGCAGCCATTTGCTGTGTAATAGTCAATATGCAGCTGCCAGAGCTGATTGAAACATATTAACGTAAGTGATAATACTGTCATAGAAGTGAAAAGTTAAGTTGCTTATCAGTATATTTTGATAAGCTACTTAAATTTTACAGTAGCATGTGCTGGCTTCAGACAGACACTCATGATAAAGGACTGTGCACTTTATCTGTCCTCTCTGTTGCCTCTCACTTCATTTATCACCCTCAGCGGTACAGCCAGTAATCTGCGCAGGGTGGCGATTCCCCTCTCCCTGGCAGGACGTCACATCTGTGCTCTACATCGTGTCCAGCTCTATCAGTAATGGACTTGCTGGCTCAGCAAGGTGGACGTGACCAGGCCAGCAAGTGCTTGGTACAATAGTCTTCTCACCTGCCTGTCTGATGTAGCTTTGGGAAAGTTCCTTGTAGAGAATAAAGCCATTTAAAGTAAGTGGCAAAACTTCTTGAGGGTGGCAGTACTGTTCAACAATTCCGTAGTACTGATGTGCCTTTACTGTTACTCTTCGTCTAGTTTTATTCAGTAAACGTTGAGCACGGATGGTGTGCCAGGCTGCGTTCTTGGCACTGGGAAGACAAAGTGAAGAAAGGTGTGTTCCTTCCTCCCAGTCTGCGTGCAGTCTCTTGAGAAGACAGACACGCCAGAGAGGACTGCATCATACAGGGAGTGTCATAGCAGTATGCTCATGACCAGGGCAGCACAGAAAAGAGGGAGTTAGGATGCTTGAAGTGAGAGGGGTGGGGCACCATTAGGAGGATGAGTGGAAATCAGCTGGACGAGACCATGAAGGTGAGAGGGATGCGTATGCCAGCTCAGGCAGGCTGAGGACTCCTGGACATTCCTGAAGCGGGAGGAATGACAGAAGCATGTACATGAGGAAGTAGAGAGAGGACAGCCAGAGGTGGTCAGGGCCTGACAGTGAGGTGCCTCGAAAATCATCCTGACAAGTGTACACTGGATCCTGTAGCAATGGGATGTCATTGCAGGAATTTAATCCAATGTGTGATGTAGATTTACATTGTAGGAAGACCGTTCCAGGAGCCACAAAAGTGCTGGACCCACAGTGGTGAGGACAGCAGCCAGGTTGTCGGAGTTAAGGCGAGCGCTGGGCAAGACCTGGTGGAAAGCAGTGGGGACAGAGACTTAGAGCCCATCCTGAAATAAATAGGAGGGTGCATGAAACATAGAATGCCTGCTGGGGCAACATGGGCAGTTTCTGGCTCAGGGGACCCTGTGCAGACATCTGCAGTGGGAGTACTGTGTGTGTCCCATCATAAGAAATAGAATAGAAGCTTTCCTGGGAAGGGTGGGTGTGCTGAGAATGGCCGGCAGGGCTACTCAGAGGTGGTGCCCGATTGCAGAGTCTGCTTTGAATTTCTTCCCTATGAACCTATTCTAGCTCTGAGCCACGGGAATAATTTATAATGGACGTTCAATCCTCTGCCCGACACAGGCAGTTTTTTAAACTCTCAGAAATAATTGGCATTTCACCAGTCTGTGTTTCCAGCTCAGTCCGACAGGAAGACTCTTCAGGATATAGAGAAAAACTGAAATGTATCAGTCTTGAATTCTGTCCTGGTTAAAGTGTTTGACCTGCATACTAATATTTTGTGTTTTTCCTCTCTTCTTCCCCCAGCTATCTCCCCTGGTTCGAGGTATTTTATAAGCTACTTAACATCTTGGCAGATTACACGACAAAAAGACAGGTATTTGCTTTTTTTTAATAATTCTTTTTAACAAGTGAAATTTAATTTTTATTATTGTAAAAGTAATACATGCTTTATATTGCACCAAAACATTTGCCAAAAAAGTAATGCGTGCTCATTATAGAAAGTGTGAGAAATTCAGAATATAGTAGGAAGGGAAAGAAAATCACTCAAATACTAAAATAAGTATCGCTTGCTTTATGTGTTGTTTTCTTC